TCAAAAAAACTAAGATCATGGCCACTGGTCCCATCACCTCCTGGCAAATAGAAGAGGAAGATATGGAGACAGTGACAGATTTTACCTTCTTGGGCTCGATGATCACTGCAGATGCAGACAGCAGCCACAAAATTAAAAGACGCCTGCTTCAGGGGAGGAAAGCAATGATAAACCTAGACAGCATCTTAAAAAGCAGAGACAAAAGTCCGCATAGTCAAAGCTATGGTTTTTCCGCTAGCGATGTATGGAAGTTTTGGTTGCTTTGGTGGATGACCTATGCCAAGAACTGGATAGGGGATTTGTGTCCCTGTGGGTTTTCCTAGACCTCTTAGCAGCTTTCAATACTATTGACATAGTATGTTCCTGACCCATCTCTCTGGAATGGGAATTGGGGTAATTTTTTACAATGATTTGGTGTCGCCAGTATGCAGATGACACTCAATTCTACTTCTCCTTGCCACCTACATCTGAGGAAGCTGCTTCGGCTCTAGATCAGTGTTTGGTATCAGTAATGGATTGAATGAAGGTGAATAAATTGAAACTTAATCCATACAGTCAAAAGGCAAATCAGGGAATAGGGATGCAGCTTGTATTGGATGGGATTACACTCCCATTGAAAAAACAGGTATGCAGTCTCATGGTGCTCCTGGATTCATCCCTGAGCCTGGACAGGTATGCAGTCTTGAAGTGCTCCTGGATTCATCCCTGAGCCTGGATGCCCAGGTCTCGATGGTGGCCAGGAGTGCATTTGCTGAATTAAAACTAGTGTTCCAGCTATGTCCATTTCTTCAGAGATCTGATCTGGCCACTGTGAGACATACCCTAGTTATTTCCTGTCTGAATTAATGTAACATGCTCTATGTGGGCTGCTGATGGAAAGTGTCAGGAAACTTCAGTTGGGTCCAAAATGCAGCAGCTACATTGCTGAATGGGGCTGGTCACATGGATCACATACCCCCGCTCCCAGTTGCAGCAGCTCCACTGCCTGCCGCTCAGTTTACGGGCACAATTCAAAGTGCTGTTTTTAACCTATAAAGCCCTAAATGACCTGGGTCCAAGCTGTCTCAAAGAACGTACCTCCCATTATGAGCCGGCCTGGGTGTTAAGATCATCAGAGACCTTTCTCTCAGTCCTGCCACCTTCACAGGTATTTCTGATGGGGACACAGAAGAGGACTTTCTCTGTTGGAGATCTTTCTCTCAGTCCTGCCACCTTCACAGTTATGTCTGATGGGGACACAGAAGAGGACCTCCTCTGTTGTTGTTCCCAGACTCTGGAACTCCTTCCCACAGGAGGCCAGGCTGCCCTCATCTTTGCTGTCTTTCTGCAAGCAGGCAAAGGCCTTTCTCTGCAGGAAAGCTTTCCCTCAGTAACTTAGTTACCTGTGCGCGTGAGTTTTAGAGGGATTGTTATTGTGTTTTCCATGTTTGTATTTTCCATTTCTCAGAATGATATTTTTCCCTTTCTCTTCACTATTTGTGTATGTATTGTTCCTATTAATATTGCCTTTTAATGATGTAAGATGCCTCTTTATAATCATTGTTCTTAGCCTTAAATACTGTCTTTCAATGTTGTAAGCTGCCTTGGGTCCTTTTCAAGGAGAAAGACAGAGTAAAAATATTTTTAAATAAATAAGATAAAACAAAATCTGTTAAAGATGTCTGTCAATAATTCATGGTGCCCTTGTTCTTCAGAAGCTCATCCCCAGCTCACCTATGAACCTGCTGCATTGGCTTATCTCAGGATATTTGTGTGTAAATGATAGTTATGGACAATGTTAAATGAGCTATACATCTTGCTCAAATGAAAATAAATGCTGACAGTTAGTGATATATATGTATTTTCAATAGATACCTATTGATGACTTTATCAGTCAAGTCCAGGGCTTGAGCTACAAGACTCACTTATACACTGAAAACCACTCTGCAGAAAAAGCTTATTCCAAAACGAGAACAAAAACATACTGCATAATGGATTTCGACCAGTAAGAAAGCACTAATGATGAAGAGAAACAAAACTAGCAAAATAATAGAATACCATTATTTTAACTAAACCATCAATTATGTGGCTGAGGCCTGCATATAGCCTATGTTTACTTATCTACTGACCCTCTGCAGGAACTTTCACATCACCTTACTCGATGCCAAAAACAGCACCAGGTCTAAATCTATTCCTCCTGCTGAGCACTTATTGTCCATTAAACCCTGGCTATTTAGTAATGAATGAAGGAATGAAAAGAAAAGAAGTGGCAGACTCAGACAGAAGGGTACTCATGGATGCCACATGTATTTCTTTATGAAGAACTATTTTATTTTGGTACCATATGTCAGCCCTCATGTAAGTCTCATAAATTTAAGCATTCTATTTTATTACACTTGTGGCTCTGTTTAAACAGCTCACATGAAAAAAAAATCATATTTCACAATTTTGAAGTAAATACCATGAGTTTTGCATTATTCCACTTTCAGGGACTATACGGCAAAAATACATTCACACTATTGCAGGCCAATGAAGCAGAACATTGAGAGCTTCAGGGCAAATAAAAATACTTCTTCACATAGCTTATGGTTAAACTATGGAATTATTTTCCACAGGATGTCATAGATGATGGCACAAATGTGGGTGGCTCCAAAGGAGACAAATTCATGGAAGCTAAATCTCCCAGTTGCTATCAGTCAAGATGGCTAGGTATTACCTCCAGCAATTTGTACGACAGTGACTAGAGAACCATAGTGGGCATGGTATCACCTCCATTTCCTGCTTGTAGGTTTTCCATAAGGAAGAGATAGGGCATTGGCCAGATCCAGAAGGCTCTTGTTATGTTCTGCACGTTTATTCAGAAATCAGTCTGCTAAGATCAGTAGAGCTTAGTTCTAGATAAGTGTCCAGAGGATAGAAGCCTTAATTATCAAATCCAGAAGAAAATTACACTGAATGAACTTTTTGCTAGTTTTGATTATCTGCTGGATTTTCTCTACTTCCTCTCTGTTGTTTTATAGACTTCGCTCTATAGAGAACCTTGTGACAAGAATTCTGCCTAATGATTTTTCATTCATTTCTTAAAACTAAGAAAATAAACCCATTCCCTCAGCAATCTGCTCCCCATTATAATTCTTACCTGGTTGGCTGTGTAAGGAAAGCCTCCAAATGGGCCTCTCCAAAAAATGGCATCTCCTTTTTTCCAGGATTTTACATATTGTGACATTAGTCCATTCTCGTAGCACTTACAAAGTACAAAGTAGATAAGTAGATATTTAGCAATGCAAAACTCAAGTTTAATATCAATAATCCACATTTCTTCAGCTAAAACAGAGAATTTTCTGTGCATTTAAAAATGATTTGGGAAAAGTTTTTAAATCAATTTAATACTCAAATTTCTAGAATCTAGCACTTAGTCTTGTGTGTGTATGTATTTAAGTATATGCTAACTTAATGTTGTCCCTTGCTTTGTGTGATCTTTGTATAATGGCTCCACTAATGGATAGACCAAATGAGTATTTTCAGAACTCCTCTGATTACAAACAACTAGGATTTGTACCAGAAAGATGCACAAAGCAGTACCCCTTGTATGAAATTATTAATATATTTTGGACTGCTGTGCATTTGTAAGAGACAATGAACACAATGGGTCTGGACATTTGCTTGTCCTTCTCATGTTTCTTTCATCTATGACTATGTAAGACACAATCTACGTGGCCTCAGCAAAAATGACTATTCTAATAATTTGCATACACTACAAATGAAACAAGGAAGCCATAACTAAAATTGCCAGCCTTACACTGATGCTGCTCCTTACACATTGAGAATGACATACAGTATTTACTTCCACAAAGATAGATATGAAAGTATGTTGTGGCAAATTAAGGAAGCTTGCAACACCTTAAAGACTAGCAAATATATTTCTGCATAGGTATTCTTGACCTAGAATGCATCAGATGAATCTTGTCCTTTTCATAGGAATTAAAGGGACAGAGCCTTTATTGTCACTTATCTCAGTGACATTTTTATTGCTACCTGACTGCATGTAAATTTAGATGAAAATAGGAATGTTTACAATTGATGACTATCATACTATCATATGCACAAGAATGTACTATAGTATTCCGTTTATAAGACACCCCCGTTTATAAGACACCCCCCAATTTTCTAACCCAAATATTAAGAAAATTTAACTTTGAGTATTCAGCCTCTAGGCTCAGAACACTCAGACATTAGGAGTCCCTATTGAATCTGAGCCTACAGGCTCCATCGGCAACAAGGTTGTTCAGCATCAGCTGATATCAATTCCATGAGGCTCGTGATTGGAGGAAGCTAAGTCTCCTGACTATGGGAAACTAAGCCTCATGATTGAAGGAAGCCTGTTTACAGAGGCAAGGTACGGGCTGTTTTGTTCTCTCCTCAGCTATCTCAGCTTACTTTCATGTAAAAGATGCCTCTCAATTTTTAGTGTAATGATTTTAGGAAAAGGTAGCATCTTATACTTGGAAAAATACAGTATTTGTCTGGAGTTGGTAGTACAGTGTGGGAAATCTAATCAGAAAGCAGGAGAGACAAATAAGATTTGCATGGTCACCTTTTGATAAACAAGGTGAAATCCTTTAAAACAAAACAAATCTCTAAAATTAATATCAGTTTATATTCAGTGGATGAAATCCTGTTGCTTAATGTAATAAGTCACAGTTAAAGTAGGACCATTGAATCAATGGAACTTACAGAAGAGTTGACTGACCAAATTGCCACTGATGGGCCTACTCTAGTTGTGTTTTACTACACTAAGCCACAGGATTTCAACTAATGTGTATAGGCAGTAATGACCTATGCTGCACATATAGGAAGGAAAGAAAAGTTTGCGTGTCAGGCTCCCCATAAAAACACAGGTTCAGGGTCAGTTGAAAAAAATATGTTGGGAATTCTAGCCATAGTAAAGACAAGGTAGTTGGGGATATTAAATTATGGGCATGGGGAATCAAGATGTTAGTTACTATGTTTCTTCTGTAGTGGGATATTGGTTGCAGGGGAGATAATTTATTTAAAATTGAATATGTTTCTTCTTCGCTCTAATGGAGAAATGACCAAACTGGTTTATAATGAATTCTTACAAACAGAAGAGAAGGAGAAAATTCCTGGAGAGAAAACCTCTATGGCAGGTTTTACACCAAAAAACACCATAACATTATAGAATCACTCAAAGGGAGGGTTAAGCGCAGAAAATCTCCACTCACTTGCACTTAACTGTAGTATCACAAATGCAGTGCTGTAATCATGGGACACAGGGGTGTCTGAACAGCACTTGGATTGTATAGTAATAATAATAATAATATAGTACTTCCAAAAATTGCCTGAATAGCGAGAAATACACTACAATCTACAGAGCAAGTTATACAAATGGGTGCTGTACGATGGGTGTTCCATCTCTTTTGTTACAGCAAGAGAATAACTGTAGTTCTCTTTAGGATGAAAGGGTCTATATAAAGGGAAGGCATTATTACAATCATTACTACTATTATTGAAATGCAAAACTTGTGTGTAATAAGCAAGCATATATGAAATTTCACAGTCAACCTATAAAGGTAACATATTAATGCAGCTCAAATGTAGCATTTCCCCCCTCAAATTGCCACAATAATAATGAAATGATCCACCCACAAGTGTCTTATAAAAGCTATACACACCTCAAAAGGAGTATAATTCATGCTCAAACTATTACACAAGCAATGATAAGCCCCTGAAAAGCACAGACTCCTGGAGAGTGAGCAGAGGACAAAAACCAGTTCTCTGTGGCCGGCTGGAAGCTCCAGTGACCATAAAATGTGTCTCCCCCGGAGAAAGTGTAAATATAGATTGAAGAGAAAGACTTTATTTTCATATTCCTGAGCTTGAAATTATTCGAATGCACCTGTCTTTGACTTGAGATTTAGCTAACATTTCTTCTAAATATGATGATACAAGGTTTGTCATCAATAAGTCACTTGGTTCTGTACAGAAACCACTGTATTTACTTAGGAATATCATATTGTGGACTGACTGATCCTAAGACATATAGAACTGTTTTATTACATGAAATGTCATGCACTGAAATTAGCACAGCTCTCTGCTATGGAGTAACCGTGTTTGGCTATACCACCAATCAGATACACCTGATTACTTTTATATGTACATACGTTTCAGTGTCAGGTAAATGACTCGGTAGGGTCCAAAATGGCTATATGATGGTGCATAATTTCAGATTCATCCCCATCACACATTCTTCCATCTCTAATGGACAGGTGGGAAACGGCACCAGTAAGTGCGTACAAAGAGAGAGAGAGAAGGAAGGAAGGAAACCTCCGCAGGCACTGCAGAAAACCCTTCCAAGTCATACACCAGAAGCTCGTTTGGATAAAAACTGTTCTCCCAGGACAATCAACTTAATCAAACTTAAGTACTGCCATTTCTGTTGTTACATGGACTGAACTGGGCCTGGTCTAGATATACAGCAGAATGAAAGGTAAAATTCCAGGATGGTAAGATGGACAACCACCTCAGCCTGCTGAGGGATTTCATATTTTTAAAATATAGCCCTAAATAGCTCACTACATATAATGAACTACACGGCAGAGAAAAGGTTTTCACATATTGCAACCCTCAAGTACTTTCAAGAAAATATCTTTAGTTTTAACATTAGAGAAATCTCTGAAATGATACATTGTGGAAAACATGTTCTGAACTGGTATATCCTAAAATCAAAACAGCCCACAATTCCTTCACCTTGTTCTAGTACCTCATCCTGCTTCATATGTAGACCTGGTCTTGATTCTGGAGAAATGATGAGAAACAGAATTTCACAGTATTGATCGGAACTAAGTGGAACTAGCTGTTAATCTATAGAACAAAGGCAGCTATTTACCTTTATTAAAACTTCAAAGTACCCTTCAGCATTCACAGGGGTAATTGGAGTATAAGCTCTCTGGACCTCCAAGCCGTTTACTAGTCCTCTGAGGAAGGGTGGGGGGAAGAGAGAGAGAGAGAGAGAGAATAAGAGGGACTGAACCCCGATTTGAATTCCTGACAATTCTATCAGTAGAGTAATGCTCTCTCAGCAAAAGCTGCTGCGTGAAAAGCACGGCAGGTATTCTTCCTGCTTCCCCATGGGCTGTCCTTTGCCAAGCCAGACAATAGATTATTCCTTCCCATTTTTCAATGAAATCACAGGGATGCAAACTACTGAAATAACCTCAGATTTCTCTCTCTCATCAAGCTATACTGCCCTCCTTAACAATGCTTCCTTTTCCTGAGGCCAGATAAACTACGCAGCCAGCCTAGGTATTTTGTGCAAGATAAACAGGGAACTAAAATTCAGGGAGTGAGGGAGAGATTGTGAATAGTTTGGGGCAAAAAGGAGCTTTCAGTCTGAGTCTCTACAGCTGTTTTAAAACAGGTTAAATAATATGCAAAAATAATATTAATAAATGCCTTGAAATCTTGGAGAGGAGGGGCGGAGCGATGGCAGCGAGAACAGGGGAATCCTAGGGCTCTGGGAACCCCTGTGTAAACTCCGAGTCAGCGGACCCCCCAGAAGTGAAGAGGGGGAGTTTTTCACAGGAGAGTGGATTTGCAACAAGTAGGGCCAGGAAACCTCCGAATTCAGACAACAAATCTGTCTTCGTGAGAGTTTCCTTCCTAAAGCAACTGGCTCGGGAGACGCCATGTCTGGTGAATCAACTGCCAACTTTGCCAGGAGGGGAGGTGTATGAGGAAGATTTATGCCTGACTGCATGAACAGTGAGTAACTGACTTACTATTCAGCTTCAGCAAGTACAAATCAAACTTAAGAGGCTGGTTTTAAAGGAGAGAAAAGTAAACAAAAAGCAGCAAATAAGCATTTGTATCCTTGAAACATCAGCAAATATTTACTGTGTCACATCTGAGAGAAACAGAAACAGAAACTAGCTAAAGACATAGAGATTTTTTTCCTCATCCCCGCGTCCTCCCTGGATGGCATAATTATCATATCATAAAATTAGAGATTTAAAAAGACTGGGAACTCCCACCATAAGTGATCCTGCTATGAGCTGCGAACAGTGGATTATAAATTAAAACGGCTCCTGGCCGAGGTTGGATTTACAACTGGATGTGTTAGTGGGAGTCTGAGTCCGGGCTGACTCATTTAACATGAGGGTGAACTGATTATAGTTTTACTGTTTTATGGCCTCTGACTGAATTGGGAGTACAGGAAAGGGGAAAAATAAATTGCATGTGGGGAGGGAGAACAGATTTCTTCATTATTTCATATGGGTAAAACCACTGGGCTCTTTCTCATGGGACTCTCAGGGATGACATCGTGAATGTGATGACATCACAATGCTGCAGAAACAATCAGATCTGACTGTCAGTACTAAGGTCAAATGAAGCCCATTCAGAGGCAAAACCCCCAATGAAACAAAAAAAAACACACACTGCTGTTTGAGGGAAAATATGCTCCTCTTTCAGCATTGACCTCTGAAAG